AAGGGTCACTTGAGCCAGGTCTGGGACTCAGGCTCCTTCGTGTCCTGCTCCACATCTCTCCAGGGAGGAGACTAGAGCCCCAGGTGTCATGGGGGGCCCCATGGAATGGTGAGAAACTGAGCTCCCTCTCCTCAGTGCTCACTGACACACCTCACCTCTCCCTGCAGTTTCCCATCTTAAACCCCATATTCCCAGATGAGAGAGATCATCGCTGGGAGGGGAGAATAGATGCCGCCCATCCCGGCACCCTCAGCCTACATGAGAGCAAGGGGAGGGTTGGGGGAGAAGGAGCAGGTGGGGAAGGAGGGAGAGCAAGCAGAGAGATGAATGGAGACATGATGGAAGGGATCCCAGAGGGGAGAGAAAACCATATTGGATGAGGAGGAGATGGGGCAGGAGAGGCCCAGGGCAGCAGGAAGTGAAAGGTTATAGAGAGTTTGCTATGAGTGTGAAAATAGCAACTCACCTGCCTGTTTCCTCCAAGCAGCCACCATCACCAAACCTCCAGGCCCTTCCACCTGCCCCCACACCAGCTCCCATCAGCTGACGGCTTGCTGCTCCCCCCATCCTCCTGTTCCTGCCAGGCACTGCCTGCTCTCCAAACTCTTCCAAATGCTGCCCCATCCTTCAATCTTCTGGGCCCTTCCCACTCCCGATGTGTCTCCCTCGATGCACTCTCATGACTTTCCCCCTGTGCTCTCCCTGTATTCTAGCACCAGGGTTCTCGTCACTGGGCATATTTTATTTCCTCCCCTCCCCATTTTGTCACTTGAAATATTTTTGTTTCTCTAATCTCCGAATTTTAGCATTTACACTTCATTTCCTCTATTTCCAAACTCTGAATTGTTAATCCTCAGTTGCTGGGCATTTAAGAACAGACCCAGAATTCAGTTTGCTCCTGTTCCACAGACCATGGCTCTGGCCCCCAGGGCCTCAGGCAGGGAGGGGGATGTGAGCAGGGACAGCCCTGGGGAGTGGAAGGAGCTGTGTTTTTGGCCCTGTGCTAGGGGCTGGGACACGTCAGTGGCTGTGCAGACAGGCTGGGCGATGTGCCCAGGAAGCTCTGCAGGTCACACTGCACGTGAAGGCAGAGGAGGGACAGGAGGAGTAGACACAATAGTGTCTGGATTTACTGCTGTACATCAGCCCATGACTACACAACCTCCCTCTCCTCCCAATGTGCTGTGAAATGCAGGATGCTTGTGAGCTCTGCCCTGAGCAATGAACTCCCCTCCCACGGCCACAATCGGGAAAGAAGCAAAAT